AAAAGTACATGCGCCAAGTGTACTGATGTGTGTGATAAAGAACCGAACGTCTAGCGCCAAATGAATATAATGTTGCGCCGCGACGGAAAATTGTCTAAAAAGTCCTCTTATTCGTCGATACTCTAACGTAATTAAGCGGCATTTCTATCAACGTTTTTACGATCCTCGTAGTCCTTGCTTATCTTATTATTGTTAGCGTTGCTTTCGTTGTTATTGCCATTATTTTTTTCGTATAACGGTTTCCCATTAATCGGCAAACTGTAAGCGTAATTTGAAATACTAAAAAGGTTAATGCGGACTATCCCTACATTGTATTACTATTCGGCTATTTTGCGATTAAATCTCCGAATCGAAACTAAATGGAGATGGGGCTGGCGAGTGATTTACTCGTGTATAGATTAGAGTACCTAATCTGATCGATAGTTCTCCGTAATTTGAAACATTATATCAAAAGAATCTTACCTATGAACCAATACGCATATTTTTAACTTCGGAACCGAAGCGGCGTTGCCCATTAGGGCCAAAATAATGTACCTCGGGAGGCTCGATCGCGTGATCGATGAACCTCCCACTCCAGCTTAGGGATGGTGAAGGGTGGGATGGAATGGGATGGGGTGGGGTGAGCGGTGGGGAGGGGAGGGGAGGGATATGAGGCGCACAGCAGCAAGCGGACAACACGCACGCGCACGCACACAAAGTCTCTGCAAGAGTCTGAATTTCGCGTTGCCACTTTCGTCGGATTCCACATGACTTAACAGACTGAAATTCCTCCTGACACTTACCGATCGCGACCGCCACGCCGCTTCGCCGGACCGTGTCCTTTTTATACTCTGCGTCCATTTTCTCCGTGGATGTTTTTTCAGCTGCTCCTTTTGCAGCGCTTCTTTGCATTTTTTCTCCTCTTTCTCGCGGCTTTTCTTCTTTTTGCGCGAGACTTCTGAATCAGTAAAGAGATAGAATTGGAGAGGAGGGCATATATTTCCTTTTATTTTTCATTTCATGAGACAAGTCAGCTATTAGAATCAGGAGAGCGAGTCGTCAAGAACTAATTAGCGTATCTGGTATACAAGATCGCACTCTCGAGAAACTTTAAAGTGGCGGGAAAAATACTGCTAGCGGGGAGAGAGAGCGAGAGAGCGAGAGAGCGAGGAGAGATGCGTTTGTGCGTGCGTGTGCGTGAGAATGAGATAGAGATAGAGAGAGGGAGAGAGGGAGAGAGAGAGAGAGAGAGAGAGAGAGAGAGAGAGGATAAGGAACTGGGACGTAGGTGGTCTGTCCGTCGATACACGTACACGCAAACAGGCTAGGAGCAAAAGGGTGTTGGAACCATTAGCGATCCTTTTTTATCCTTGAAACGGGAATTCTTCGACGGAATTCCATTGCAGCGTTATCATCGCGCTTGCGCACATAAGCCGCGAATTGTAGAGTAGAAGGGACAAGAGGAAGAAAAAAAGGAAACTCATAAGCGGGCATAAGAAACGAGCAAATAGAAAGCGTTAATGATTACGAAGAAATGTTAATCGATGTGTACAATTTCTATATATTCAGATATATATATATATATATATATATATATACATACATATTATATACCCGTACAATTTACTATGTGGAGGATGCAGAGCAATTATTTATCGAAGAGTGGCGCTCGTGTGAAAAACTTGTAGGATTATACGGGCAAGTGTTGACAGAAAAGTAATACAGGTTAAGTGAATACACGTGTTTCATATTGTATTGAAGGTTTGCTTTTATTATTTATATATTTATATTTGTATATTCGTTATGTATAAATTATGAACAATATTATTACATATCTATATGCACAATTACTGGAATCACCATTTTCATTTTCGTTGAAAATACATAAAGGCTATTTCGTGCCTGCACTGGTAAAATGTAATACGATTTTTGAAAAAAGTTCTTCGTTATCCGTACAGAATTTTGTCGCTATCGTAAATAGTGAAAAAATAATTTAAAACTGGACAATCCCTGTACATTATAGCCATATACATAATTGAAAATCCTCTGAAGCTATTAGTATTTTGTAACAAATTTTTTTTTATTACAGATACTGAATAAAGTTCAATCGATAAAATTAATGACAATTTAATACCAGAATATTAAACAGTGAGAGAGAGAGAGAGAGAGAGAGAGAGAGCGAGTAGGAAAACAATTTTTTAACACCTTCGATACAAATTCGCGACTTGAGTATTACGTTTTCTTAAAACAAAATGCAAATGGAAAAAAAAACAATAAGAATATAAAAATTGTATTTAGTAGAAAAAATAGTAAAATCCAAAAAATCAGAGGCAGTGGCAATATCTGTATACAATCTAACGTCGATTACATATTATACAAAAGATTATTTCATAAGCGATTGGTCTGATTTGGCAACTTACGAATTCGTAAATCTAAAAATATATGTACAAAGCGATCGCTCAACTCGGCATCGATTATCGACGTCTCTTTAGAGTTGTCGCGCACTTCAATTAATTACTACTAGCAAAAATAATGCATCATTATGTACAAGATAACGTGCGCGCATGCACGATGATAAATAAATTATTAAATTCTGCATTATTGTGAACGCACATTATTATTGTCTCGCTCGCGCACTCGCAATTGTCCGAGCCGTTCTTCGTCTCTCTTCTCTAATTTTGCGTTTAGATCAAACGACCCGATAAATGCTGCATCTTCGAAAGATCCTGACCACGAGCCATAAACACATATTTACAACTTGAAATTACGCTCCAAAAAAAGATTTTTCTTCTAATTTTCCTATTACTTTAAATGCGAGGTGCTCTGGATTTTACCCAACTTTCATTGAAACGTCGTTTTTTATCTTACTTAAAGCGTTACGAGAATGATACTTTTCTCTTACAAAAACAAAAAAAAAACAACAAAAAAAAAAACGACGCACTAAAATAGTGTAAATAGGACACATTAACGCTCTTATATATTTACATAGTTTTCGAATCATGAACAATTCGATTAAGACTTTAACTCATACGGATCATCATACAAGCGTAGCCATAGGATTAATTTTATAAGTATTACAATAAAGTAACGTTCCGCCATTTCAGTCTTTAGTACGTGTCAAGACGTTGTATTTACGTGTTCTCTTATGTTAGTGTGTGCATTGGTGAACGATGTGTCCGTATACGTGCTTGTGTGGATGTGTTGATGCGTGGTTATATAGATCGATTGGTTAAAATCGATTAACCCGAAGATTCTTGGAAAGCAAGCCACTACGCATGCGCGTTATTCGTTCCGTTCCTCTCCGTCGACGTACTACGTCAGAATAAATAAATTGTTTCGCGCAGCGCATAATACTGGATACATATTCGAAGAGAGAAAGAGCGATAGAGAGAGAGAGAGAGAGAGAGAGCGCGAGAGATAGAACGATAGAGACGGAGAGAGAGAGAGAGAGAGAGAGAGAGCGAAAGAAAGAGATAACGAGAGAATGAGAGAGAGATAAAGAGTGAGAGATAGAGAGTGAGAGATAGAGAGAATTATTTTGATAAAAAGGAATAGCCATAATGCAAGTCGATACGACGTTTCGAACTTCGGGCCAGTAAAAAGAGGGGGGTGGGGCTTCGGACAAACAGTCACAATTCTCATTCGTTTACTCGCGTCGTTTTTGAGTCACGATGCGAGAAAGGCCGAGCACACCTGAGAAGAGCGCAAAATAATCCGCGCGACGCGAGCACCTCGCACTTCTTCTCCAGGAAGAAGCGGGTACCTGCAATCTTTCCTAATTTCATACATGTACATACAATGTATTCGTACATACATGCATACATGCATGCATACATACATACATACATACATACATACATACATACATACATAAATTCATTGTATACATACATTGTATACATAAATATATATATATATATATATATATATATATATACACACCCACGCACAAGCGCACATGCGCGCGCGCACACACACACACGTATATATAAATATATATATATATATATATATATATATATATACACACCCACGCACAAGCGCACATGCGCGCGCGCACACACACACACGTATATATAAATATATATATATATATATATATATATATATATACACACCCACGCACAAGCGCACATGCGCGCGCGCACACACACACACGTATATATAAATATATATATATATATATATATATATATATATACACACCCACGCACAAGCGCACATGCGCGCGCGCACACACACACACGTATATATAAATATATATATATATATATATATATATATATATACACACCCACGCACAAGCGCACATGCGCGCGCGCACACACACACACGTATATATAAATATATATATATATATATATATATATATATATACACACCCACGCACACGCGCACATGCGCGCGCGCACACACACACACGTATATATAAATATATATATATATATATATATATATATATATAGGTGTGTATGTGTGCTTGCGGCGTGTATTTATATATATTCTAGGCACGTTCCATATACTTGCGCAATTTTTTATTGACTGCCGACATACATTTATTCCTATTTATGTCTATGTACATAAATGATTATATATGCGTATTTTACATAGATTATTAGTTTCCTTGTTTTTGGTTGTCGATACTATTTCGCATTATTTTTTAACATATTAATAATTTAAAATTTCTAGAAAATGTTAATAAATTCTCGATTCCGCAAAGTGTGCAAAAAATTACAACGCTTTCTAGTGAAAATCGAATATAATTTCTTTTTTCGTATGATAAATAATTCATTCCTTGGAAGTAAATAATGTCGCAATACTTACTGCTTAGCACATATTATTGTACTATTATTAATGTAATATTACAACAATATTCAAATGGTTATTCTATCATTATTTCGTTTCAAACGAAAATTTCAACTTTTCTGTAAATATCAATTTAGTAATTAAAGAAAAACGAATAGAGTAGTAGTTGTTAATTAATAAATAATAATGAAGGAACAAAACATAAAAGAGCGTGAATTTTTTGCAGACTTTTTAAACGAACATATAGTGAAAGCGACACGAGAATGATGGAGAGTTGAAGAATGAAAGTATAACAGACAATAAGAAAATAAAAACGTAATGTCCAAGCCAACGTCTTGGCGATCGATGAAGCGATACTCGTCGAAAGGTGAAACAAAAAGGATAGTGAGAAAGCGAAGGAAAGTCGCTGTGGCGGCGGGGTGGGGGGACAAAAAGGAAACAGTCCATCGATCGGTCTTCGAATGACGATGATCCAAGCTCTCCTCACAGGCACGTGTGTATGGTCTTTTTGGTCCTGCATAGCTGGCATTTAACCTCGCAGCACCAATGAAAGGTGCAGCCGCATCTCTCGACAACGATGACTTCCTGCGTCTTGTATCCCCGTCCGCAACACATGAGGTCACAACCGTCGACGCCGATACTCGTATCATTACATTGACGCCCGTGAGTACCCAATATTCCCAGCTTGGGATTCTTTTCGCAAAAGGGTGGTGACGGCTCCAAATACACGAGGTCCTTCACTCCCGGAGGCTTGTGCTCCGGATTATACGGTTTGAGCTGAAAGTTGTATCTATGTCGGCGCGACAGGCCCTCACGCTGAGCGTGCACCGAATTACTCGCCGAATTGCTCGTGATGGCGTTGCTCACTCCCCGGGTGCGTTCTGAATTGCTCACCATGACTCGCGAGGCGCCGTCGAAACGGTCCTTCAGGTTGTCGCCCACCTGCCGAAACGTTGGCAGCCGCATCCAACAAGTCTTCACCGTGCACGAGCCCGACATCCCGTGGCACTTGCACTCCTGACGCATCTCCGCCGAGACGTGCTGTAACACCAATAACGCCGAGGGTTCTCCATTACTTGCTGCCATTTACTTTAGCCGCGCAACTATGCCAATTCATTTTTACAGGAAATAAATAACAAGACCGAGGCTCAATGACATTTACTTCGATTCAATTCTTCATTCATTAGAGAACCACAAAGAGAACCGATCGTTCATCATTGAAAGGTTAATGGGACAGAATTGTTGAAAATGACCCCCCCCTCCCCCTCC